ATACCCTGGAGATGTTTCAGATAATGGCTGCACTGATCACTTGCTTGCTTTCATTCCATCAAACAAAGCAAATGCCTCCAAAACAAAGTCAGCATATTTCTCCCAGTCTGATAACCTTGCCAAGGGAACGGATGAGCCACATCTGGATGCCTCAAAAAACTACAGTACAAACAAAACCTGTTCTCAGGAGGTCACAAAACAGGGTAAAGATGCAGTTGCCAGCTCTTTGTGCAGTGATGATATTTACTCACCTAAGACCTATGAACAGCAGAACCCCAGCTCTCCAACTAGCAGAGTGAAAAGGAATGGCAGAATTGACAGTTTATTTGCAGTTCAAAATAGAGACTTAATGGGGTTTCTGCCGACAGATTCTTTGAAACATCTAGATTTGGTTGCTGACCAACTTAGGAACACTGTCTCTTCTCCACCTGACAAAGATATTACAAGTGAAAAATTGTTAGCATGTCTATCTTCAAGAAACTTATCAGTTTCAGGAGGCAAAACTAATCATGCACAGCTTCTGAACGAGACACTCGCATCCAGCAAACTCGGTAAGATTGTATCTCTGTCCATGTCCATGCCAGGAATTTCTGAGGAAGTCCATAGAGAAACCAATTCATTCAAGTCTTTGCAAATGGTGGCCACAGGAAATCAAAATAACTCAACAACTGAAAGGCGAGCCATAAAGGAAGCAAGGAAGGGACTGTTTTATTCTGTCTCCTCAAAAAAGCAATTGTTTCAAGTTGACAACTGCTCTTCCAAAGGTGAAGATGATACAATTTTTATTAGTGATGAGGGTCTCCCTCCAACTGATGGGGATACCTTGTCAGAAATCCTGTCTCCTGTTGATGAAGTATTGTCCTATGGAAGTGCTGACTTGCCATCCTCTAATAAAAAGGATTTGTCATTTCCAAGTGAAGATCCTCCTCCTCCTCCTTTAGGTGCAGATGCAATGAAAAATTATGATCCTAGCTTCAGTATGGATGATTTCCTATCTCCACCAGAACAAATGACAGTCTCAGAGACTAGACAGTGTATGGATGAAGATATATCACTGAAAATGGATGCATTACCCCCATTACCTGATAACATTGTGCCTGAAGAATTTCTTCTCCTCAATCAAGAGACAACTGATGCCTTTCCAACTTGGGATGGACATCTCTCGGAACAATCTTTAGTTAAAGCTATTTCCAGTGCAAAGGAGGGCTTATTAGAATACCAACAAGGAGAATGTGAGATGCCTTTTCAGCATTTGGAGTTTCTGCCTGTGTCAAATCCTATTTCTTCTGGTCAGGCCAGTAAAAACCCTGACTTCACAACGAAACAATGCAAAACATACTTAACGCTGCCCAAAGCTGAGGAGGACAGTGATGACCCATTATTATCATTTGAAATTGAGGACAGAGCGTTAGTAAAGCAGACCCAACCTGGAACCCTACTGTTCAAAGGACGGACTTGTTTTGATAGTGGCCATTGGGCTGGTGTTGCACTTGGCAAAGCTGAAGGTGATAACGCTGGAACTGACAAAGGGGTGAAGTATTTTGAGTGTGCTCAGCACTCTGGGCTCTTCGTCAGACCTGAGGAGATTTCACACCTGTTGGGGGCTAACAAAAGGGGTTCCAGTTACACTGGGGATGAAGACTCTGACTCCTTCTCTGATGATGAATCCTTCAAAGGAGACTGCAAATACTCTGAAGATGATGAGCAGGGAGGAGGGCTTACAGAGCAGAAAGCAGAAGACACAAATGATGCAGGAGGACCAGAAGTGAAGGAAAAGCAGTCTAGGTTACACATTGCCTTGGTGTCCGGAAAAGGGCAGAAGTTTCCACATTCTGACCAGTGTAAGGGTAGTGAATTCCTCTGTCAAAATAACTTGAAGTGCTTGGGATCAAATAAAGAAAAAACAGAACCGACACAAATAAAACAAAGGATACTTGCAGATGTGCTTCCAATGAAAAGTAAAACTGGTAACACAGATGAGGTACACACAAGCAAAAATATTTGTTGCTTGGTAGAGGATCAGAAAAGAAATAAACTCGCTGATGATATTGCGAGTGAACTTGGTAAAAAAATTCTGTTTGACACTTTAATTGCATTTTCTGAAACAGCTCAACACAAAAATAAAAGTGCCTTTGAAAAAGACATGAATTATGGCAAAGGCCTAAGACAAGAAGACAATCGGAAACTGTTTCTCCTCAAAGAAAATTCGGTTGCTATCTTATCTGAACAATCAGCAAAGGTTTCTGATGTTTTACTGTGTGATTTCAATACGCTTAGCATTCATGGTTGTCACATGGTAGCAGAAAGAATTGTCACTAAATTTGTAGATGATGCAGTTAAAGAATATAAGAAGATTAAAAGAAAAGTCGGATCAAAAGCAGACAAGATATTTCATTCATCTTCAGAGACTTCTCCAACCACTTTGCCAGTAAGTACAGTCAGGAAGTTTTTGTCTGCTTAAGTGTTGGACCTGAAATTGGGTCTACACAGGCAAGCATTTGTGTTGTCCTGTTGTTTTTATCATCCATAAAAATTACATCACATTAACATTTGGGACCAGGTTGCTCACTTAATCTGATCCATTCCTCATTTAAGGAATTATCCTGCAGCCAATGGATAGCATGTGTATGGGGGGACAAGGATGAGCCGAGCATGGGGATGATGACTACAGCTAGTCCAAAGAAAGCAAATGGAACTTTTTTGTTGGAATTTGTCAGTTAGTCAAAACTGAAATCTGTACAGACTTCAATTTTGATTTATTTCAAAGGAAACCTGGACACTTGTCAGCTCATCTACCTGATTCCTTTGCAGCTCCTGGCTGTGAGACCTTCAGCTTTCAACTTCTGTATTAGCTCTGCAGGCAGCTTCTAGCAAAGGCAAGACTCAGTTCAGCCCCCCGGGAGACTGGAACCCCAAACAAAATGGAAGCTTTTGATGCCTGCTGCTTCCAATCCCATGGTGTCTAACTTTTATTTCTTAAATAGTCTGTCAGGAAGTGCTACCACAGACAGCTAAAAAACAAAAACAAACCCTACACACAAAACCCAAACAACAACAAAACAAAAGAAAAAAATAAACTTGCTTTGGGGGGTGAGAGTAGTCCCAATTCAGAACAAAAATGTTTCAAAATGTCAAAAACTTTCACAGAACTCCAAATTTGGAATTCTTTCTAATTCTAAATTCTGCCAAATTCAGGTAAAATATTTGGGGCTTTTTTATGACATGTCAGTAAGTCTTTCTTTGAGCCCATGAGTAGTGTAACCTTAACCAGTTGCTAATAATCTCAATACCTCTAAAAAATTGTGGAAAAATATGGAGTATGTCACCTGGCTTTTCTTTTTCTCTCTACTAAAGTTCCTTATAAAAATCCTTGATGCTGGTGTTTTTGGAAGCTCTGAAGACTTTGATCAGCCTAATTCTGACCAACATATGCTGGGGAGACAAAGACAAAGGCAGCACTTGTACAAATTAGATCAGTGGCACTCAGCTCCTTGGAAGAAAACTGTGGAAGTTCCTCTTGTGGTACCACATTCCAGTTCATATGTTAAGAAATTGTCTGCGTATGCTGTAGAAGAATTATGGACCCCAGAAAACATGTATTCAAATTTCAGGAGCATCAATGTGCCAAAGCACTTTGAATGTAATCATCTCCCAGGGAACGATGTGGAAACAGAAAGCAAGAGGGTGTATAATCAGGTATGTGTAAAGCACTAACTGTTCTTAAACTTCTCTGGTGTTCTGTAGGCTGACTCATGTTAGCTAGTACTTAATATTATTCTGGCTGCTAACACTAAATTTAGCTAAAGGAACACTGGAAGAGGTATTGCAAAATACTGCTTCTGGTAATCTACCACAAAAATAATTCTACTAGAATAGATGTCCTTGCTGTGACACAAGCCTTTTGCTAGAGCTCTTCAATCCTAAGAGCCTGGACACCTAGCCCAGTGTCTGGCTTGGGTCTGGTCTGAAAAAGCCAAGCTTCTTGGAAAGCTGCAGTCTAAGAGTTCAAGTCTGCTGCTGCCTCGGATGTCCTGCTGAGTTTGGACATATCTTCATGTTCCTTAGCATCCTGAAACTATTGAGTGTTGTGAACCTCTGTCCACATGAGGGGATTACAAAGGGTCCCATCAGGTCCTCTTGTATAAGCCATCCATACTTAGTGAGTGTTCACACGTTACGGTCCAATATCTTCTGCTCCAAAGAGCATGTAAATGCTGTAATGGTCATCATGACATCAGCTATAGGAACATCGGTGATGCAGATGATATTAGGGAATTTTGCAGAGATGCAAACCTTTACTGTCACCAGCCTAACATCCTTCAGAAGCGCTGAGACGACTTCTGAAAGGGCATCAGTGAGAGATTCAGTTGATGTTGGTAGTGTTTTTGTTGTTACAGGTTATATTTGATTTGACCCGTGAGTTGCTATGTACAGAATATCAAGTGACTGCAAATCCAAGTAAGTTTCCACGGATGAAAGAAAATTTGGGATCTTACTGTTCCAGGGGTCTTTGCAGAAGAACAGATGTCAATGATGTCAAGGTACGTTCTGGAAGCGTAGAGTGTACAATAACGGGAGTCAGTGAAGAGAGAAATTGCAATGGCAAAAAGACAAAAACATGACATTTGGGAGGATTACAGCAGCATAACTGAGGTGATTAGAGAAGAAAACAGCATTGCTCTGAAATGCTTGAGTAACTATAGAGTGAGCTAATTAGTTTAAATATTCCAAGTATAGGGAGTTCTGTAGAAGAACAGGAACTGGGCTTCTAAATCTCCCTGGTTATGACTATCTTGGGTGTAACCTCTGAAGTAATCTTATGTTTAAAATGTGTTGGTTGGCCAGTAGTGATCAGCTACTTCTAGATCAGTTCCCTAAGCTTTGGGATGTTTCTAGATTTAAAGCTGGATTTTCACACCGATACCTGTCGCTCATTTGCAACCTTCGCAGTGACAGAATTCCTATGAGAAGAGTTCTTTTCAGCCTTTTTTATTTTGTAGACATTTGTCCAGGATGAAATTATTAAAATAATGAACCTGGAGAAGAATGACTTGGAAATGAAAAGAAAGTTCCTTAATATGACCAAGTATGGAAACTGTAAGAGAGACAGAGTGGACCTCATTCTGGTAAGCAGGCTTCCAAATGGAGACTTGTTTACTTTCTCTAGGTTTAAACTAGAAATTGTCATGCTTTTGTGAGAATCATGAAGTTCTGAAATTATTTTAAGTAAACAAGTTATTGCCTTCCTTTTTAGTACACTTGCAATAATAATCTAGTATTTCCAGTTCTTGTGAGTGGTTTAAATTAAATTAAATAGATAAAATTAACAATGCAGGTCTAAAGTTGTTGGATTAGGTACAGTGTCTCAGTACCTTTCAGAACTGACCATGCTTTTATTCTTGAAGTAAACATTCATATCCATGCTGTATTTTAGATTCAGGAGCTCCGCAAAGAAGAATCTCAGTGGACTTACTATGACGATGATGAATTAACTGTGAAGATGAGAATGACTGAAGACATATTTGATAGCTTGATCCTTGATACAATCAGAGTTCTTAATGAGATTTATTTGAGAAAAGCCTGTGATTAGAAGTTTTCCTTAAAAAGCCCTAACGGAGGAATCTTAATCTCTGATTTTTTTTTTTATTTTTTTAGGCAAGAAATGCATGATTTAAGAACTTTAATTCTGAACTTGTACCCAATACTAGTGTAGCCTTGGCCTAATTTATATGTTCATGTTTACAAGGAAAGGATGCAAGCAGAGACTTTAGCAGATAGAAGAATATTACACAAAATATTTTTCTTGTGTTTTGTGCTTTGGGAATGCTCGTTAAGATCAATGGTCGTCTTAGACTGATGTCACACAGAATCTAAGGGGTGAAAATTTTATTCTTGTCTTGGTTTTTTTTTGGTCAAGATAGCACTTTATTTGCTTATGCATTTTAAGAGCACAACATGTTTTAAAATGGTATACATGTCTACACAAACAGGGTTCAAAACCAATTTATGTGTAAATTATTTTATTCTTTGTTATCATGTTCAGGTTGTGAATGATGACAAGTGAATCATATTTTGAAAATAATGTTCAGAAAATTGTAGGCGACTGTTTTAAGAACATAAATGTGCAGAGGGAATGAAATCTCGCAGAAACTGAATTGCTGTGGACCTCTGTAGTTTGGAATAAACTCCTCTAGTTGGAACAAGTCTAAAACTTTTCCTGATGGCTACAACAGAGTTAAAGGTGACTGTGCATCCGTGTTTATACACTGTGCGACTGGTTAGAAGAAGCCTGGAGATGGCTTCAGAGATGCAACGCATGGAATGATCTTGCCCTGGCAGGATCTAGAGCCAGACATTGAGTTTTAATATCTATAACTTTATATAAATGAGACGAATACTGATGTAATGCACTTTAAATGGGATACTTTTCTATCAGTAACTCCAATTCCTGAAAATTAAATATGTGCATGTGATTAGGCTACTTATCATGCAACTCACATGAGCCCTTTGCATTCTTACAACAACTAAACATAGGGTGCTGAGGATGTGCTTTAATTGGCAAAACAGAGGAAATCAATAATCCTGTTATTTTGTATTGGCAAAATTGGAAAAAGCAAGATTTTTAACAAGGAAATACAAGCGTTCCCTGAGCATGCTAATTGTTCACTATGTATACTGCTGTGGTCCCACCTATTTTGCATTAAGAGAAGACCAGTGATAAATTTTTGTTAGGTGTGTTTTTTTTAACTAGATACTATGCAAATAATTCTTACTGGAATTCAGAAACTGTTCATTATTAAATAATTGAATGTAAGTAGATCTGATTTATTCAAGTTCCATTCATTCAGGTTGTCTTTCAAATAAAATGAAAAGCAGGACAATTAAATTTAAACTATATATAAACTTATATTTAAAATCACAGTATTTACAATCTGGTTTTGGTGGGGAAAAATAGAAATACATTTTATGTTTCTATTTTTAAATACTGATGACTTAACTGGTTTCATACTGTTTATTTTATGAATAAACAAAATAAACCTTATGTATCTCATTTTTATTTATTTTTACTGCAATTCTAATTGATTTCAGATTATATTGCATACACTGCTGTTCTCATTAGTGAATGGCAGTAGTTTTGGTGTTTTGCAGACAGCTCCTGGGGCCGTTAAAAAGCCCTGTCCTGCCAGTTGCCATATGAGCAGAAAAAAGAGGCAACTTCTGGCCCAAGCGCATTCGCTGTTGATCTTATCCTATAAACTTTAATGTCCTTAGTGGTATATTTTCTTAAGTCTCCAACTTTAAACTTATCTAGATTAATTAATCAATGAGGATATTTGTTCTAAGATTAATGTTTTCCTGTTGTCAGTTTATAGTAGAATTTAACTCAATTTTTTTCTCCTGGACGTATAGACAAATGGTTGGATACAATGACAAATCTATATATTGAAGCACTACAGTTTTTCAGTTTATTGTCACTATGGTTTTGCAGCAGCAGCAGGATCGTTGTGTTTGGAATGAAAGCTATTAGAAATATCCCTTATCTCTGTGAATGAATAGATGAAGGACTCGTTTTATTTCAGACTGGTGCTTTATGTTACGCTATATGTTACACTTGAGGAAGATAACCATTATATTTGCAATTAGGTTTGTGAGTGAAGCTGAACCCTTGCAAGATGCTCTATACAGAAGGACACGGCTATAAAGTAACCACTGCTGATGAGAATAAAAAGTGTATACATAGAACATGTCAGACGTGTTCTAATATCCCCCACCACTCCGTGTTCAAAACCTTAGATTCTGGCACGCAGATATATTGACCTGTTCAGTCAGTGGCAAGACTTCAATATCAAGATTACTCTCCTTCAAGGTCTAATATTTTGTTTGCCTTGGTTTTGATCAATATTAACCTCTGGGGTCAATAAATCTTGATACTAGCCTCAAGAGAAGTCATTATCTTTCATAGAAAATGATTATTTCTCAGTTAAACCCTACATTTAATTTTCCTGTAATCCATCTCTTTCATCTTCGTACATTTAACAATTCTTCTGAATAAAATGCACTCTAAAATATCTTAGGCACTGCAGATTTTCAAAATCCTCATTAGCAGCTACCACAAGATTTTTCAGTTCTTTGAAGCAGTTGGACTCCACTATTGTCACCATCTAATTCTGTTGCTCACAGTACCCAGGAAAAATAGAGACAGAAAGCCCCTCAGCTGGGACGTGACACAAGCAACCGTGTACCTTACAGCTGTGGATATGGATGCAAAAGGTATGTGACTGAAGCACTTCAGGTACCGGTGGTCAAGAAAAGATCAGGAAAAGAAAAGGCAAAGGTGGCAGAATCTTACTCGGTTCTCAGAGGAGAGGATTTTTACCGTGTATAGGATTCCCGCCCTTGTACTCTCTGTGGATTACTGGCCAGAAACCATGATGAACTAGATGCTAACCTCTGAATTTACACCGGTGGGCCTGAAGTAAGAATTTGGATTCATTTGTTTCCTACTGGTTCTTGAAGGATTAAAAGAAGCATTTGTGAGTAACAGAAGGAAGAATTATCTTTTTGGGGACCTCAGTCTTTCATTATCTGAGTTTTAAACTCATCTGAAGTCGTCCTCTGGGGACATTTGCTCTGTTGGTTTTCTCCCTCTGTTAATGTAATGAAAATTCTTGAGCCTGTATTTACAAATGAAAGGAGACTTTCCTACCGTAGCTACAGCTATAAAAGGCGCTAAGCTCCATTACTAGTGCGCAACCACTATGAAATTTACTACAAGGACGGGGTTGCCAACGTCCTCTTGTGAGCCGGCAGCGTCCTACGTGCAGCCTTTCATCGCATCGGCAGCTCCGAGGAGAACCGGCTCTCTCCTGCTGAGCGACGCACTTTGGGATCAGACAGCTCTCGGCCCAAAGGCCGTGCTATTTTGATCTCTTCTCAATGAGAAGCTTCGTAGAGTTGAAAATTCCTTTTCTATAGCAATTGCCCCATAAAATCAGCGACCAAGCTCTATTGTTTTAACCTCATTAGTTTTACTTTTTTCCTTAGACAGTCCCCCTGAGGAAAACGTGGCTCTAAGCACAGCGCCAAAGGGTTTATTTGCGCTGCGTCCCCGTCAGCGGGGTTTGGTAACGCACTCGGGCACCAAGCGGGAGGCAGCGACCCTACCACCTCCCTCGCCCTGCACCTCCGGGGCCGGGGGCAAGGCCATGGCGGCTGGCGCCGCCTGAGGGGCGG